TGATTAAAGTATGTTACAACCCTAATCCGACTGTGACATGTTCTTGGCGTGTTGTTCAGGTATCAGTATATAATAGTCTGTCTAATAACATACTTGATTTAAGCTCCTTATAGAATATTAAAACAAATAGCACACAACACGAACAATCGATACGAGAAATAAATATAATGTTGACGCAGGTAAATGTTAAGTCCTTTTATCTACATGTATTGTAAACACATCACATATTTTCAACGGTCTTCATTCAGATATGACATGGACACGTGATTTCAGTCCAAAATATTCAGATGATTTCAGTCCGAGATGCTCAGTCAGATGGTTTCAGTCCAAAATATTCAGAAGATTTCAGTCCGAGATGCTCAGACAGATGATTTCAGTCCAAGATGTCCAAATGATTTCGGTCCGGGATGCTCTGATGATTTCAGTCCAAAATGTTCACATGATTTCAGTCCGAGATGCTCAGATAGATGATTTCAGTCCAAAATTATTTCAGTACGAGATGCTCAGACAGATGATTTCAGTCCAAAATGATTTCAGTCTGAGATGCTCAGATGAATTCAGGCAGATATGTTCATGTCCAAATGACCCAAAAGACTTCAATTAGTGGTCTTCATGTGATTCCAATCAGTCACGCTTAGTTGTTTTCAGAAAGTATTGTCCATAAGTTCTTCACAGAGCAATCCAGCGTATAGTTTTCTGAGCAGAGGGCATCAGTAAATGATGTTTTTTGTATATGTCATTTATATTGCGCTACATTAAATTAAAATCTGTTTTATGTGCTTCCGGGGATCCTACTAGTAGTTTAAGAATAATATTCTCTAATTAAAGATTGTACACAAAAGTTGGGAAAATGTCCACATATCTCACAGCAATTTGTAGATCGGCAGCATACAGTGGGTGGGGGGGGGGGTATTTTTTCCAATTTTCTCAAGAATTTCATTACAGTTAATGGACGGATAATTGGTCTTCTATTAGAATAACGTAAATATTTTGTTAATACACACGCGATCTGATACATAAATTAATGTTTAACACAGTACCAGTTTTAAAAATAAGAATGCCAATCCAGTTTTACCGGTAGAAATGTCATATCCACTGTTGTGGACTATAACATTTCAACTATTGTGGAACATCTCACATTTAAACTTGACATATTGGTCAGGCATCTGCCTTAATTCCAGTTAATAAGAATCTGGACATCAGACTGACCAATTGATAATTACACTGGTCAGTGACAAGATTTACAGACGTTTATCTTTAAATATTTAATTTGGCCAATCTGCGGACAACTAGTCGCCGTCTGAATATCCCCGGTCAGATTATTGGTTGACCTTTCCGTAGCTAAATCAACAAGTACGGCTAATAATTAAGTCCGATGAAATAAAATGGGGTTTACTTCTCTGCACTACCTCGATTAATAACACCGGGCATTGACAGTGGTGCTGCGACCTACTCTCCTTTCGATTTTCAACTATCTTTAACATGTTGCTAGTGTTATACACAGTGTTCTCGGGATGTGATCCCAACCGTAAGACTAGACGTCTGTCGTCACCATGACTCCACTAGAGGACCCGGAGAAAACCCACGAGGTTGTACGGGCGACCCTACCCCTTGTCGCCACGCCACTTTACTCAACAACAGACCTTATGATCCAACGCGCACGCGTTAACCATTCGACTACCCAACCCTCTCAAATCCGATGAAGTGGAATTTGTATCTTATAAACAAAACCCATAAGATAAACTATAAAATTTGCAACAAGTATCAACCCAAGTGAAGTATACAAACAAAAAAAACCCAATAAAAACGGTTAGCTATGTGAACGCCCCAAAAAGCATACCCTCTCCTTCTTGTACAACACCAATCAATACTATATCTCAAGTGGCATCGGGTGTTCAAGAAAGACTAGCATATGGTGTCTTTTGTATACAATCGAGGACATTTCTCGCGTGTGTCCGTGTGTTAATTTTACTGATTTTCCAGTCGTATTTCATGTTGTGTTTAGACTGTCCACTTATATCTAAAAGTCAGAAATATCTTACCCCCGGCTCTCCTTTAAAGGAGAAGTTTCACTATATTCTAACAATAGAATATAAAATGGGTCATAGCTACTTAAAAATGTCCTAGAGACCCCCTTAAAATGAAACAGTAAATTAAAATAGTATGAAGATAGTGTGCCGGAAATTAAAACACTTTATAATGCAGTTTTATGTTATTAGCTTTTTAATACCCCAAATAATAAAATCCTGTCACGTGTACTTGATGGATCAGAACAAGATAAACAGCGATGGTGGCGTCTGAATGGTGGATGTTAGCTATGGAAGCTTATAGGGGTCAATTATACCGCGATATTAATATGGTGATATGCCAAGATATTGTAATTGTTGAAATGATTTTAACCCTGAAAAGGTCGTTTTTGCTGAGTTAATGGAATCAATGCATCATGTGTGCCGTTATTTCGTTCTAAATGTGCACGTTTGCGTTAAGATATTTTTATTCTGAAGCATTCCTTTTCGATATAGTATAATTATGTCGATTTAGCGCACGGTGATAATGGAATATGTTGCCAAACGTGCACATTTAAAAGGAAACGGCAACATACAACATAGCGCGTTAGTAAAATTAACTCGCCAAAACAGTCTTTAGAGTGATAAAATCATCGCAACAATCACAATATTTAGACATATTGCCATATTGATGTCGTGATATCTTTCGCACTATGTTAGCGGCCATTCGAATTCGTCGCCGTGACGGGTTATGAAGTTGACAAGTCGCGGCACGATGAGTCAAGAATACTGCTGACATAGCTGACCCGAAAAAACGACAAAATGAAGGTGACTATTTTAGGTAATTTTCTCGGTTGTCGGGTTGATTTTGTCGAAGATTTTCTCGACTTGTCGTTACGTATAGAAGCCTATTGAGGCTATTTCATAATCTTGACTTCTCGAGGACGAGAAGCCAACCCAACCAGTGTCAAACATTTACCATAGGTCAGATCAACTCACGGACAATCCTCAATGATATTATTTGATCGCCACAGAGATAACAACAGAACGCACATTTCAAATGCATAATTCCCAATACTTAAATGTATCAGATTCGTCGTTTCATGAGAACCGTGGCGGATTATTTTACGCCACCATCTTTCAAACATATACCATAGGTCAGATCAACTCACGGACAATCCCCAATAATATAAATATTAGGCTTTTGTGTCTCCAAAGAGATTTCGTACCCAATACCATCAGGCCAATGCCTAACTATGGTTTCATTAAAAGGTTTTTAATACAAACGAGTACATCAGATTCCTTAAAGGTTATATAGTAACATACATTTAGCACTGTTTATAGCCACAATAACGGCTTATAAAAGTACACGCGTTCAATCATTTATTTTAGACCTCTATCGTTTTCTAATGATCCAACTATTCATATACGTTACTCGATCGAAGTCCTGTTAAAAGATATAAGGCGAACACGCCGGGCCTTTCGTCAATCTGACTAAATAAGGCCCAAAATAAAATTAAATATCTGTGTTTACGGTTATCCGATGGACCCTTATTTTTGGGAACTATAATCGCCGGCCATAAATTGGTTAACCCTTTTCACAGGTCCATTAAATTTCTGCAGACAAATTTCAACACTGACATTTCGGCATTACGAACAGTCTGACTAGGTGGTATTTGCCAGAACCCTAATCAGTAATTAAAGGACAATATTGGTGTTAGCCATTATCACATATGTGATAGAACTCGTTAAACACGTTCCAAATATAATTTTAACACAATGATCATTGCTACGGAAGTGACAGAAAAAATGGAAAGTCAGACATATCCTTCTATATATAACTGACTGAAGTAACGAACGATAATAGATACACGGTCGAATTTCTGCTCACTGATAATTCCTTCGAAGACGAAAAGTTGTTATATGATTGTCACAAGATAAGAGAAAACGATAAAAATAGAAAAGGTCCGTGCATTACCATGATTTTATTAAGTATAGAATGAATAAAAACAAGTGAATGTATGGGCCTTTTCTATTTTTGTCGTTTTTATCTAGTGACAGTCAAATATGTTTGTGAATTGTCTCACAGTCTCATAGACTATTTAATCCTACCGACGTTGAAAATGTAAAATGTTCTAAATCAGTATATTCACATGGAGTAAATATAAGTTATAGATATATATTGTTAATAATTACTGAAGTGACATGTTTAAATAAAACCCTAGCTTTTATTTAACATTTAGAGTGGTTTCTCGTCGAAAACATAAAGATACATGTAAATTATTAAAGATACATATTATGTAAGACACCAATCAGCCTATTGAACGCCCTTTTAGGGTGTAATTTAAATTATTATTTAGATATGCATTCACATTACAAGCCAATAACTATACTCTCTAGCTCAGAAATTGTCAGTATATTCATTTTTGATTATTTTTAAATTATTTTAGCCATAACTACCAGCTCGTTATCTAAATCTTACATAATGCATCTTTAAGATATTAACTTATTATTTCAGTTACTTAATCTTATCCCACAAACCCCCACAAGGCAAGGAAAGATAACCCGTCCGAGGGATCTTATTACTGTGATTATGTAACCACGAGGCAAGGAAAGATAACCCGTCCGACTGATCTTATTACTGTGATCATGCAACCACAAGCTTTGTTGATCGTTTTGTTTTTCCTTAATGAATAATATATTGTACAATTATATTTTTACTTCATTTTATTCCTTTTAAAAAATAGAATACGAGTAGACAAGATTTCATTGTCTACATACATTGAGTTTTATTCGCATTAGGAAGAACTATAAACCCCAAGTTATATCCACCGAGAGTTATTGATCCTGAATGGGGGACAGAGGGAAGTTGGGGTAACCGATCATCACTCGTCATCTGTATCAGATTACCATTGAGTTTCGCATACTGCGATGTTAGACCCTCTTCATCACCAGGTGAAAACAGATATAGATGTTGTGTGGTGTCAGTAATACCAGTAATATCCAGAGTTACTGCGTCACTTCCGAGATTTAAGATATAAACAGTTACACTTCCTCTCTCATACCCCATCGTGCTGGGAATTTTTGTACAATGGGCGTACATTCTAATATTACGATCTGAGCTCTGCGTTACGTTAAACACGTTACCACCAACCAGCCTTTTGTACAACACAGATATCCAGTAATCAGTATTGGGATCAAAGTCAGATGGACCAAGCAATGCGCCGTTGCCACTAAAAGTTTGCCTTAAGACTCCCTTAACACCATAACGAGCACAGACGCCCAATTTGTCCAACCACATAAAACTGGCCACATATGCAGAGCCGATATTATCTGGTCCGGCGCTCCATGTTGTGGATGTTTCGCCCAGCCACACAGGTTTACCGGGTGCGGTTTTACCAATCGCTGCTACTGATTCTATAATCTGTGGTGCCAATGAATCGAGTATCGACGGATCTTTGAATTTATCAACGGTTGCTGCCGATCCACCCATGTAGTAGTGATGAAACGTAACGACATCTACTGCGATTACTCCACCAGCTTCAAGAAACTCGTCCGTAAAACTCACGACTAACCCAGCCACATCAGGTCCGATGACGAGAGATGACGACAAGCTAGGAATAGACTTCAGTATCTTCCTCAAACTAAGAAAATCCACAGCAGATTGTTGGGCATTGACGTGAAACTGTGGAGAAATGTTTAGTTCATTTCCCAATTCAAATCCATACAATTTGTATCCCTTTTCCGCTGTATACTTGAGCAGTTCCATGGCGTTGGTCGTATCCCACTGACCATTAACGCGTGGAGCTATGTTCAGATCAAATATCAAATCCCAACCAGTGCTATTTGCGAAGATGTTAATTTTATCCCAGTCACCGGCAGACATAGTAAAGTTGTAATGATCGCCATAATTCTGCTTGCTTGATGATTGTTCGGTGTTATTTCTCGTAAAGATGACGTAATCAGCATCTGTTCCACCAACCCTTATAATGCACGGCGTTAAACCACGAGCTAACGTTAAGAGTTTGGGAGATGTAAAGCTGTAGTTGTTCCAGTGATGTTTGATACCGCCGGAATCCATTGTAACACCTAAAAATCTGGGATCTATTTTTTGTACAACCGCCACATTGCTTAGATTGATATTTACATCCAAATAAACATCGTTAATCAACAAAGTGGATAAACAGACAATATGGTAACCTATATGCATCATGATCATATAAAACAGGTCGTTCAATCATACACAGCAAATATAGATCAGTGTTGTTTAAAAATAAAGACTTTGATAACGTTATCAAAATGTAGATTATTCTTACGTTTAACACTTGTCAATCATATCTTTGTTACATATTAGACCAAGGCCGATGTGAAATCATGATTAAATAATTATAACTTTAAAAGTAATCTTATTTCTGATATAAATGGTGTCTTTTGAAACGTCACAAGAACTGGTGACGTCATGAATAAAATTCCCTATAACCATGTAGTTATGTATTGCTTCAGTCTTTTTCTAATACATGTAGACTCGCTTAGTACAATAAACTGAGTAATCTGATTGCGTTATTGTAATAAAAGCCAACGTGTGACTAGACTGAATAACCTGAGACGTATGGGTTTGGGGGTGGGGTGGGGGCGATGGTTTAACGTATGCGTTTTAAATCATAGGGTTTGTCATTGAGCCAAGTGACGCGATTTCACGCTTGCGGGAAAATCTTATCGAAATCCCGGAGTATATGAATACGAATACGGAGTAAGAAGTTCAATACATTATGTAGTTCATTTGTATTTATCAGGTGGATGCAAAATGCACTCTCTCCCGAATTTCGACGGTTTCTATTGACAAATGAAATTATATCTCGTTGAGTCGTCGTACATAACCAGAACTACAGGCGAATTTGAAACCATAAGACGGACCCTTGCACTAACGCCAACAGTAAGGACATTGATTTTAATAAATCTATTTTCAAATACAATGAGTCTGATAACAAATTATTATATAAAACACATATCGTCATCATCTATCCCATGGTCGACAGAATACATCAAAAACTAGCAACAACACAAAGTAATAATAAAGATCCGACACGAATTAGGAATATAAAATATAACACAAATTAGGAAAATGTAAACGTGTCCTTCATAAAATTTAGTCTGTGGACTAATAACGTCCAAAATGTTTGTTGACCAATCAATGACCAATAATGGCTGTGGACAAAATGAGAACAAATGAAGTTCAAACGGATTGTGACCAATAAAGTTCGTAATGGTTGCATGTGGACAAATTAAATTCAAAATGTTCGTGAACCACTAAAGTTCATTGGTTGTGGACACATACAATTCACAATGGTTGTGAACTAATATGATGGTAAAGGGCAAATATGGCCAAAAGGTTCACTCTTTGTGGAGCAAGAAAATTCAAATTGTTCGTGTACCAATAGAAATCAAAATAGTTGTGGTCAAATAAAGTTCATTGGATAGCATGGCTCAATAGCTTAGAAGAGAGAGGATCGGTAAGTTAAGGGGTGGCCTGAAGCGCAAGATTGATAAGTGTTTTAGAGGTCTTTAGCATTTATATTGTAACATTATTGACCAGTGGTATCAATACACACAAAGATATAAAAGCTTATTACTACCGTTGTTTGATATGCAGGAAATGATCTGGCGTGTTGGTCTAAAAGACTTCTTTTGAGAGGTATACAAATTTGTCGAGAGAAAGGGTGTGGTATTGAAGTACTATTTTATTGACCCACAGTACCAATATAATCAATACCTGACCTATTCTTATACAATGTACATTAATAACAGCGTATAGCCGATCTTTTACGCAAACAATTTGGGTACCAGTAAAAGGTCAGGCCATGGAGTGCTAAAAAGTGTAAGTTGTTTATTGTTTAAGACGGGTTCTTAATTGGCGGGGGGGGGGGGAGGGGCGTAATATCCATTTGACATAAACTAGGTCATTTCGGGACTATTATATTATTTAATTCTATTTCAATGATTTCCTCCCGCGTAGGGTTTTTTAGTGGGATGAAACCGGAGGATCCGGAGAAAACCAAAGAACAGGCCACCCTACTCCTTGTTACGTACACGCTGGAAAACGAAACCATGCCACTTGACATAATGATATAAAGCCTAAAAGCTCACACATTAAGTACAAACTAGGAATATGAAATACAATACAAACTAGATACATAAAATACAATATACAAACTAGGAACATAAAATACAAAACAAACTAGGAATATAAAATACAATATACAAATAGGGAATATAAAATACAACATATAAATAGGGAATATAATACAACATACAAACTAGGAATAAAAAATACAATATACAAACAAGGAATACAATATATAGACTAGGAATATAAAATACAATACACAGACATAAGATACAATATACAAACTAGGAAAATAAAATAAAATATATAGACTAGGAATATAAAATACAATACACAGACATAAGATACAATATACAAACCAGGAAAATAAAATACAATACAAACCAAGAACATTAAAAGCAATACACAAACTGGAAATATAAAATACAACATACAAATAGGGAATATAAAATACAACATACAAACTAGGAATAAAAATACAATATACAAACAAGGAATACAATATATAGACTAGGAATATAAAATACAATACACAGACATAAGATACACTATACAAACTAGGAAAATAAAATACAATACAAACCAAGAACATTAAATGCAATACACAAACTGGGAATATAAACTACAATATACAAACTAGGAATATAAACTACAATATACAAACTAGGAATATAAAATACAATATACAAACTAGGAATATAAAATACAATACACAAACTAGTAACATAAGGTACAATATACAGACTAGGAATATGAAATATAATACAAACTAGAGACATAAAATAAAATATACAAACTAGGAATATTAAATACAATTTATATACAAGGAACATCAAATATAATACACAAACTAGGCGCATACAATAAAATACACAAACTAGGAACACAAGATACAATATACAAACTAGGAACATAAGATACAATACACAAATTAGGAACATAAAATACAATACAAACCAGGAACATAAAATACAATATACAAACTAGGAATATAAAATATAACATAGAAACTAGGAACATAAAATACAATACACAAACTAGTAACATAAGGTACAATATACAAACTAGGAACATAAAATACAATACAGACCAGGAACATAAAATACAATATGCAAACTAGGAATATAAAATGCAAGAACATTAAATACAATACACAAACTAGGAATATAAAATACAATATACAAACTAGGAATATAAAATTCAGTATAAAACTAGGACCTTCAAATTCAACAGAAGCTAGGAAAACTAGCAACAACACAATGTAATAATATAAGATCCGACACGCATTAGGAATATCAAATATAACACAAATTAGGAAAACAAATATAAAACAGACTAGGAATATAAAATAAAAATACAACACAAAGGTTAATCAGATTTGTGGGAAAATATAACGTTTGGGATTTTTGTTCATCATGGACAAACTAGCTATCAATTTTTCATATTTGTACTGTGGTTATTCATGTATTCACCATGAATAGCACGAGGGTGGTGTTCCGGAAATTAAAAACACTTTGTATGCAGTTTGTATTATTAGCCTGTGTGCTGCACTTAAATATGAATATCCTGTCACGTGTTCAGCCAGATCGGTTACTGTTTCTTGTTTAATAAAATACAAGCTTAACATCTGGTTTAAAATGCGAAAGAAATGCAAGGAAAAGAAATGATTATATCTTTTAGAATAGTAAATAATATAACAGAAACTTTCAGTTTTTAAATGAGTTAATATGTGGAAACTGTGTGTACAAAAACATCCAAGAGGACAAAATTAATCAACTTGTTCATATATTGATAAAGGACACACTTAGTCATTTGCGAATAAATATCTTAGGTTCATTTAGGCGACGGAAACCGATTAGATCCCTTTTCAGTATCCTGCAAAAGTCGAAGTGTCCCCATACCCTTTCCCGATATGAAAAAAACCCAACCCAATCTTTTCTTCAATACAGTAGACAAACAAAACGTGCTGGTACCCAAAACGTGACACCCGTTGCGGACCGCACACCCCAAACCCGCCACACTCGAACCCCTATTTCCTTTTAGCGGCGCTACTGGAGACCCGCTTTAATTGCAACATATGTTGTGATGTTCTCGATCAACTCATTCAGATCGAAGTCCAAACACAGGGGAAGTATTTTAATAAACTTTATGACCATTTCCAGGAACAAGAAAGAACAATTAAGAGCGTATTATGAGATATTTAGATAAGTTGAATGACTAAATAAGATAGTAATCTACATAACGTTGACACAAAAGTTGATGTTTGGATGAAGATTATGTGAACAAGAGAAGTAACTTACCGCTACATCCACCTACCGACCATTGATAAACGACATCAGTTAGCCATTAATGGTCTTCAGTTGCCATTAAGAGAGAACACAACCCTTAACCTTCGAACATAGATTAAATTTTCTCGATAAACATCGTTTACGATCGAACACAGGGCCGGATTAATTTAGGGGAACAGAATTAGTTTAGGGGATGTAGTTCATGGACCTCTGCCATGAGTACAGCCTTTGTGAATGAATGCTAAATTAATGTAACTGTACTCTCAATTATCTACTTAAAAACGTTTCACTTAATAAACTGTCAGACAAGGAAAAGCGCCCAACCATGTTCATTTGTGTGCACGTAAAAGAACCCTTGGCTCTTTGAAATCGTAGACAGAAACGCAACTGGTCGGACAAGACTCCCCATAGCAGTCCGTTTATATTAGCCCAGTTGGTGCAGAAAATGAAATGAAATGAAATAAAATGGGGTTTAACGTTCTACTTGGGCTAATGAAGACGGGCTTACGCCATACAGTGTGCTATGAGGTAAATTTTGCCCGGACAGCGACGCTACGGCCTACTCTTGTATCGAATTCCCACTGCCAGGAGATCTTTTACCTGCACGCCAAGGGGAGACCACGCCGGAAAATCCCGACGACCATTCTCGGCCAACACCGGATTCAAGCC